TTTCCTAAAATATTTCTGTTTCAGACCAAGAGCTCTACTCAAGGTGCCTTATAAAACATTTAAACACTTTATGAACTCATTTTGTATACTACTATTCTTATAGTAAAACATACAATTTACAACTAATTATAGGTCAACAGTTTACACTACGAAGTTCCGCCCGTTGGAGCCCTTTTGGTCTTATAAGAGTTTAATATACTATTTTATGGAGAAAAATGAACGAGTATTTGCTTTTCAGTTTTGCGCAAGTAAACCAATATAAAACTCTTACACAACTTTTTGTGTTAACCGGCTGCACACCGGCTGTCTGAAGTCGGCTTTTTATGGACGAAGAGAGAAGGGAGTAGAATTTTACCTCTGCAATTTCAGACCGAGAAAATTGCGGTATTACATATGTATGTAGCTTGAAGCTGGTGTTTTTGTTGTTGTTGTTGTAGCGGCTACAACAACCCCGCCCAGATCGGTTGGTATCTCAGTCGTTTTCGTCGAGTTCCACTAACGGCAGCCCCAAGAAGCGTGCAGCCTCTATGGGGTCGGTCCACAGGGACAGCGCCGTTAGGGTTGTGGGGTTTTCCGGGCATGCGAAGAGATGTTTCGAGTCGTGAGGGGTTTCTCCGCATGCCGGACATTCATTCGGCACATCTGCATTTAGCCTACTCAGGTAAGAGTTCAGCCTGCTGCAGTAGCCAGAGCGAAGTTGGGCTATTGTTGTTCTTGTCTCCCGAGGCAGATGAAGCTCCGTCGCGTCAATGTCCGGTGTTTGTGTGCCTAGAACGGCATTCACAGGTCTAGAGTCTACATAACTCGAGACTGAGTCCCTGTGAATGCCGTTCAGGGCCTGTCGGTATGCTGACGGGTCCAGAGGCTGCTTAATGAACCTCTGGACTTCATCCGTAAGTTCATATAGATGCCTCCTGACGTGTCCAGGCGAGGGTTCCTCTGCAAGCAGCTGTCTGTTTGGGTGGCCGCATCTGCGGCTCCCAACCAGAAACTGCTTGCTGAGCATTATGTTATGCTCCTTAATTGGGAGCATTTTCTCCTCGTCATGGAGGTGGTGTTTGGGTGACATCAGGAGGCATCCGGTCGCTGTCCTGAGTGCGGTGTTCTGTGCTGTCTGTAGCTTCATCCACTGCATCCTACTAGTCCCCGGCGACCACACTGGTGCTGCGTAGTTTAAAACCGGCCGGCATATTGCCTTATATGGTACTGCCGGCTAGCGACTTGAGGACTTTGTTGCGGCTCTGTACTTTGTTGACAATAGCGGTTGCGTGCGCAGAGAAGGAGAGCAGGCTGTCGAATGTTACTCCGAGTATTTTGGGTTTATTCACCGTCGGAATTGGTGTATCATCGACGTGAATTCCCAGCGGTAGCCTGACCTCCTTCGTCCAGGTGGTGAACAAGGTCGTTTCGTAGGGGAGAGGGCTAGACACTTTGCAGTGAAGAAGCGAGAAAGATCGGAGAGATACCCGTTTACTTTCGAACACAGGTCATCATTTCCATTCCCAGTCACCATGATCGAGCAATCGTCGGCGTAGGAGACAATCGAGACTCCCTCTGGTGGTTGAGGGAGCTTTGAAATATAAAAGTTAAACAGTAGCGGGGATAGGACACCACCCTGTGGAACCCGCTGTTTGATTTTCCTAAGTTTGCTCGATTTGTCTCTAAACATTACCGACGAGTGTCGACCACTCAGACATTAGCGTGGAATGGCTGACAGTGTCAAAAGCCTTTGACAGGTCCAACGCTACTAGAATCGTTCTCTCACAGGGACGGTTACGGTTGAGGCCACGAGTTATCTGAGTGTTTATGGTGTTAAGTGTTGTTGTTGTACTTTGCACTTTACGGGAGCCATGCTGATGCTTCGCTGGGGTCAGGTGGTTCGTGAAATACGGGAGCAGCAGCGCCTCAAGTGTCTTCGCTACCGGGTAAAGGAGCGTTATCGGTCGATACGAATCTCCTTTCTTGGCAGGTTTCCCCGGTTTGAGCAGTGGGACCTCTCTCCCCACCTTCCAGATGTCTGGGATGATGAGAGCGGCCATAGACAAATTGAGGACCTCCGTTAGGTACGCTACTCCCGCAGGACCCAAATTTTTCAGCATCAGCATGCATATTCCGTCGGGACCCATGGCTTTGGAGGCTTTCGCCTTCCCGATGGCCACCTGAACTTTACCGCAAGTGAAAGCAAGGGGGCACAATTTGTTGGCAGTTTGTGCAGCCTTCTGGTCACACGACGCTTCGTTTTGTCCACCGGAGGATGCAGTATGAACTGCCGGCTAAAGTAGCTCGCGCATCGCTCCGGGTCCGTGGAGGCATGGTCGCCGAAAGAAATTTGGACTCTATCGTCGTGCTTCGTCGGATTGGACAGTGACCTCACGGTTGACCAAAGCTTACTCACACCAGAGGTGAAGTTACAGGTCTTCAGATGTTCTGCCCACTTCTTCCGCATCCTGCCGGTACGAAGCGGGCTGCAGCAGCAGTGACAGCCCTGCAGAACTTACGTTCACCAAGGTGGACGTCGGTTGGTGTGGGGAGAGCAGCGAAGGTGTTTTCAGTAAATTCCGCGAAGCCTTTTCAATCAGCTTTGGATAAGTTGACATATGTTCGGTGCTCCGCGGAAGCAAAGTCGGTTGGCTTATCGATCGAGATGACTATGGGCAGATGGTCTGATGCCAAAGTCAGCATAGGTCGCCATGATATGCTGTTTATCAGACCAGCG